CCTCAGCCTCCCATAGTGCTGGGATTACAGGCATGAGCCACCATGCCTGGCCTATTTTTAACCCATTATTATTGATGGCATAATTTGACCTTTTGGAAAAAAGAAGAGGGAAATGCTATACCTACTTCATTATGCCAAACGCTAATCTATATCTAGAATTTTTTTTTTTTTTTTTGCTACTCCTAAGACAAAGCAGCTCTGTTCACCTTAATTTGAAATTGTTTTTGTAGGCTTGAACAGTCATTTGACTTTATCTATATAACCATTTAAAAATTACAACTTCTAATTCCCTTTTTGCCTAATGGTATGTACATCCAATGCAAGATATCAGAGTTATCCCATGGTTAACTCTTCTCTCTTAACCATTCCACCAGTATTGTACATTCACCTGACTTGACCCAGCTCCAAGGGGTCACTTGTACACCCTGCATGAATTAACTTCATTGATGTTGTCTGCTCCCATTGTAGCTAATGGCACTGACTCAGCCTTCCATGTGCTTGCTGCTAAGCCAGCCCATACTGCTCTAGCACCCGTAGCAATGCCTGTGCGTGAAACCAACCCTTGGGCCCATGCCCCTGATGCTGCTAACAAGAAAATTGCAGCCACATGTTCGGGTAAGGTGGCCACAGATGGTGTTGAGGATTCTGGGATCAGATAAGTGACCCTGGTTCTAAAAATCAGCCATTTAGCTGAGTGTGAACTAAGGAGGAATCCTTTCAGGAAAAGTATGTTCCCTCCTGGAAATAAGCTCCTTATATAAGAAAGGATGGTGAAGGAGAACAAAAGAGATCAGACTGATAGTCGTTAGGACTATGGAACTGAACCACTTATAGAGCTTTTATAAAATACAGATTCGAGGGCCCCACCTCAGAGAATCCATCACAGATTTGGCGATGTGCAGACATGCCTGTAGAAAGAGGGGTCCCTGGCTGGACGCAGTGGCTCACAACTTTGGGAGGCCGAGGCAGGCAGAACACGAGGTCGGGAGTTCAAGACCAGCCTGGCCAACACAGTGAAAATCCGTCTCTACTAAGAATACAAAAATTAGCTCGATGTGGTGGCAGGCGCCTGTAATCCCAGCTACTCAGGAGGCTGAGGCAGAAGAATTGCTTGAACCTGGGAGGCGGAGGTTGCAGTAAGCCAAGATCACATCACTGCACTCCAGCCTGGGTGATGAGATAGACTCCGTCTCAAAAAAAAAAAAAAAAATAGTAGGGGTCTTGGCTGCCACAATAGGAGGCCTACAAAAAGTGCTACAAAAAGCACTTTACTTTTGCTTTTTTGTACTTTCTAGTTTTTCTATAATGAACATCTGTTACCTATAAAACCAAAAAGATTTTTTTGTGTGTGGTTTCTGTGTGCAGTTTACCAGAAAGACAACCTATTTCTGGAAGCTAGGCAGGGGCCAGCAAGATACAGCCAGGTCACTGGTTATTTTCTTTTTGCTCTGTTAGAGCAGAAGATGAATTGCCTTGGACCCTTTAGAAGATGTGCAAGCTAGTTTTTTCTTTTTTTTTTTTCTGAGACAGAGTCTTGCTCTGTCACCAGGCTGGAGTACAGTGGCATGATCTCAGCCCACTTCAACCTCCATGTCCCAGGTTCAAGCAATTCTCCTGCCTCAGCCTCCCGAGTAGCTGGGACTACAGGCACCCACCACCACGCCTAGCTAATTTTTGTGTTTTTAGTAGAGACAGGTTTCACCATGTTGGCCAGGATGATCTTGACCTTGTGATCCGCACACCTTGGCCTCCCAAAGTGCTGGGATTACAGGTCTGAGCCACCATGCCTGGCCCTTTTTTTTTTTTTTTTTTTTTTTTAAAATAGAGTTCTCACTGTGTTCCCCAGGCCAGAGTGCGGTGGCACAGTCATAGGTCACTGCATCTTGAACTCTTAGGCTCAAGCAGTTCTTTTGCCTCAGCCTCACAAGTAGCTGGGATTACATGTGGGAGCCACCACAACTAGCTAGTTTCTGTATTGTGGATGAGCCATAGCAACAGGGAGGGATTTCTGACATTAGTCAGCTGCCTTGGTTTAATGTATTTGAGCTATATCTAGACAGTGCTTCAGTCTGGCTGACACAGCATCATAGTCTGACAGGTTTTCTTCATCCTACCACAGAATCTCATTTGGTAATAGAGTTTTTCCTCCTACCTACCAAACCACAAAATGTCCCACTGGGGACATGTTGCACATGTAAGGATCATTCAAATAACCAAGATTATAAGGTAAAGAAAGGCACCCCTAACTGATTCTTTTGTCTCTCATCTTGTTGGTTCCAGGGACTGAGTGGGGTCAATCTTCTGGTGCTGCCTCTCCAGGTCTCTTCCAGGCCGGTCATAGACGTACTCCCTCTGAGGCCGACCGATGGTTAGAAGAGGTGTCTAAGAGCGTCCGGGCTCAGCAGCCCCAGGCCTCAGCTGCTCCTCTGCAGCCAGTTCTCCAGCCTCCTCCACCCACTGCCATCTCCCAGCCAGCACCGCCTTTCCAAGGGAATGCATTCCTCACCTCTCAACCTGTGCCAGTGGGTGTGGTCTCAGCCCTGCAGCCAGCCTTTGTCCCTGCCCAGTCCTATCCTGTGGCCAATGGAATGCCCTATCCAGCCCCTAATGTGCCTGTGGTGGGTATCACTCCCTCCCAGATGGTAGCCAACGTATTTGGCACTGCAAGTCATCCTCAGGCTGCCCACCCCCATCAGTCACCCAGCCTGGTCAAGCAGCAGACATTCCCTCACTCTGAGGCAAGCAGTGCTACCACGAGTCCCTTCTTTAAGCCTCCTGCTCAGCACCTCAACGGTTCTGCAGCTTTCAATGGCGTAGACGATGGCAGGTTGGCCTCAGGAGACAGGCATCCAGAGGTTCCTATAAGCACCTGCCCAGTGGATCCTTTTGAAGCCCAGTGGGCTGCATTAGAAAACAAGTCCAAGCAGCGTACTAATCCCTCCCCTACCAACCCTTTCTCCAGTGACTTACAGAAGACATTTGAAATTGAACTTTAAGCAATCCCTAGGGCTATTTATCTTGTCCATACATACAGGGAGCAGTGGGTGGAGGTCAAAGGAGCAAAACACACTTTGTCTCCTGATTAGTACTCTTTTCACTAATCCCAGAAGTCCCTAGGAACAAGTCTAGGTCCAGAGTACTGTGAGATGTGATTTTGAAAGACGTGGGAAAAACCATTCCTAGAGAGAAGCTGCCTTGCAGTTAGGCTAAAGAAGTCAAGGAAATGTTGCTGTCTGTACGCCCTCTTCCCTCACCCCTTACAAATCTCTAGCAACAGAGAGGCAAAAGTATCTGAATAAGAATCTATATTCAAAGCACATTTACTGAAATATAAAACCCAACAGGAAGCAAAGCAATCTCCCTTTTTCAGGCCATTCACCTGCCTCCTGTCAGTAATGGCCTGTATTAGAGATCAAGAACAGTGATCTGTGCTCAGGCTAGGGAAGAGAGAGGCAGGCCATGCTGCCAGAATTCCCAGGAGGACATATCAGCAACTGCCCAGCAGAGCTATATTATTTTGGGGGAGTAGTTGAGCTTCCATTTTGAGTAACAGAATAAATATAAATATATATCAAAAGGCAAAATCTTTATTTTTATGCATTTAGAATATTTTAAATAGCTCTCAGATATTAAAAAGTTGTATGAGTTGTAAGTAATCTTGCCAAAGGTAAAGGGGTTAGTTGTAAGAAATTGTACATAAGATTGATATATCATTGATGCCTACTGAAGTAAAAAGAGGAAAGGCTGGAAGCTGCAGAGAGGATTCCTAGCTTGTTTGCTGTCAGTCATTCATTGTAAGTAGCACATTGCAACAACAATCATGCTTATGACCAATACAGTCACTAGGTTGTAGTTTTTTTTAAATAAAGGAAAAGCAGTATTGTCCTGGTTTTAAACCTATGATGGAATTCTAATGTCATTATTTTAATGGAATCAATCTAAATATGCTCTATAGAGAATATATATTATCTTTATATTGCTGCAGTTTCCTTATGTTAATCCTTTAACACTAAGGTAACAGTGAAATAATCACACCATAGAAGGGAACACAGGTTACCATATTGGTTTGTAATGTGGGTTTTGTTTTATCATTTAAATTTTGTTCCCATGAGTTTTGTGGGGATGGGGATTCTGGTTTTATTAGCTTTGTGTATGTCCTCTTCCCCCTAAACCCCCTTTTGGTGAGAACATCCCTTGGACAGTTGCAGCCACTTGACCTCGGATAACAATACGCGATCTCATCTCATTTTTACTTTTGAACGTTGGCCTTACAATCAAATGTAAGTTATATATATATTTGTACTGATGAGAATTTATAATCTGCTTTAACAAAAATAAATGTTCGTGGTAGAAGCTTTTGCCCATGAAGGGCTGTTCTTCTTTCCCCTTTATTAGTAAATGAATTTACTTTTAGTTCTTTTGGTCTTTCTCTCTATTGTGCTGCTGCAAATCCCTAATTTAGTGACTAGAAAAATACCCTTAAGGTTCATATTTTCATTCATACTTTAAGCTTAAGTTAATCCTGAGTGTTTCTCTAAAGTCAGATTCTTGCTGCTCAAAGTGTGGTCTGGAACAAAGGCATGGACTTCACCTAGGAGCTGGTTAGAAATTCAGAATCTCAACCCCACCTCAAGACTGGAGCAGTGCTTCTCAACCTGGGCTATGCAGTAGAATCACTTGGGGATATTTTTTAAAATCTTAATGCCTGGCCTATATTCCAGATCAATTAAATCAAAATTTTAGTGGGGTAGGGGACCACCTCCCCAAGTTGTGTTGTGTTGTTTTTTTTTTTTTTTGAGACGGAGTCTTGCTCTGTCACCAGGCTGGAGTGCAGTGGTGCAATCTCGGCTCACTGCAACCTCCGCCTCCTGGGTTCAAGCAATTCTTCCGCCTCAGCCTCCCGAGTAGCAGGGACCACAGGTGCATGCCACCACACCTGGCTATTTTTTTTTTTTTTTGTATTTTTAGTAGAGACGGGGTTTCACCGTGTTTTTTTTAAACTCACAATATGGTAAAAAGTTGTGACCCACTGGCCTAGAATGAGTTATATCTCTAATCTTAGCCCACTATTCTGTGACTGGTTCTGTTATTAGAACTAGTTAGCTGCTAGTTAACCTCAAACTTACCTTGTGATGTGTTTATACCAATAGGCCAAATTCTGATTTAATTAAACTGGGAACTCCAAGAAAGTGGCCTTTATTTTCCAATTTCTATGGCAAAATCAGCCATGGTAAGTGAACGTGGATGCTCTTCAGTATTTTTGCACTATTAGATGAAAAAAGACCTCTGCCCCAGCCCACGTTTCCTTTGTTGAATGAATAGTAGACTGAGAAGTATCACTCACCCATGATGTGGTTTGTCCCTTTTCCATCCAGTGTGTTGGTAATAAAAGTCACCTTTCAGAGCTTTGGTCCCTGTAATGCCTGTCTTTCCTGTGTCCAGGAATAACCTTTGCTACTAGGCAGTCCTCTGGAAGATTTGTAGAAGGTTAAAAAGTGGAAAGGGACTTGGAATCTCATAGAATTCATGCCTTTTGTTTTAGCAAAAAGAATTAGAGGTTCTGAGAGATGAAGAATGATGTCTTCCAACTCAAGCCATTTCTGAAACCATTTCCCTGTTACTACATTGCCCACAACCCTTCCCCATTGGTATCTCCATCCTGCTAATGCTGTTTTTAATCACAGTCTGATTTTTCTCTGGCAGCAAGAATTTTTCTTCACAGATTCCTACTTAAGGAAGAGAGGGGCTCTTCATTGTCACTGTACAGAGCAGGCTGGTCAGCTTTAGACAAGTGTCAGAAGAACCTTCACAGCCAGCTTTGCGTCCTTCAAGGTCCAACATTCTCGATGATGTAAGGAGCTTTTCCAGTTCTTTCATGCTCTGGTAGCAGTGCTACCTGCAGCTGTTTAATCCCAAATCGCTATTTGAGGTCTTACATCTATTCCATTTTGCCAATAAGGGTTATGCTGTTAACCCTCTGCACCAGATTTAGTGATTGCAGCACTGCCTAGAAGGGTGAAAGAGACTAGAACAATGAACTATGGTTGGTTCTAGCACAGAATACTTTCCTGATACAGCAGGAGTTGGCATTCCCCTTATAAAACAGGTGTTAACTTTGAAATCATTACACATGTCCCTGCCCAGCTTTAAATCAAGTGGAGCCCTGATAGCTAGCTTTAAAACACCATTGATGGGCCAGGCACGGGAGCTCACACCTGTAATCCCAGCACTTTGGGAGGCCAAGGCAGGCGGATCACCTGAGGTCGGGAGTTTGTGACCAGCCTGACCAACATGGAGAATCCCCATGTCTACTAAAAATACAAAATTAGCCATGTGTGGTGGCGCATGCCTGTAATCCCAGCTACGCAGGAGGCTGAGGCAGGAGAATCACTTGAACCTGGGAGGCGGAGGTTGCGGTGAGGCAAGATCACACCATTGCACTCCAGCCTGGGCAACAAGAGTGAAACTCTTGTCTCAAAAAAAAAAAAAAAAAAAATGCATTGGACTAGTCCTGTCTAACAGAAATTATAAAGGAAATCTTTAAAAAGTAAAGGTTGTTCTTAACCAAACAGATAGCTCTTCTTGACAACAGTAGCCTATGTTTATGTCAGAGATGCAAACACTGCTGAAAGCTACAGAGGGAAGCTGGTACTTGCTGCTGTTTAGGCTAAACACTAGGTGGGTTTTTGAAAGAGCTAATGTATTCCAGATGATAACTCTGTTTGCCAGCCAGAGAGGAAGCCAAGAGTCCATTTTCCTTTCTCCCCAGCCCTGTGAAGTATTTGGATTGGGGCTGGAGCTGGCCGTCATCCCTACTGCCAGATGGGCTGAGCGTGAGGCTGGAAACGGGAACAGCTGGCACAGCAGAAGCTGGAGTAATACTCATTGCCACAGAGCTGGGCCTGCAGGATCAAATCACAGTTGGCCAGCTCTGGCTGGTCGATGCATTCCCTGCCAGGGTCCCTGGGCTGGGCAGTGGGTGCTGCAGAACAATAGGGGAGAGAGAAGGTGGTGAGGAAGCTCTGTGTATGCTGAAAATTCTCACCTGCCACTTCATTTCATTCGAAGGAACACGGCATTGTAACTGCCAGATTCAAAACGAAGTGCACTTACCCTGTAACATTTTAACAACCATATGTACAAACCTTGTGAGGGATGATGATTTCTACCTGTTTTTTGGCCTCACTTCAACATGCAGTGGCCCTCCCATTATTATTTGTGGCCTCAGCCCAGTGAATAGCTCTTCCCAGACTCCCAAATATTTATTGACTGGATGATTAAACATCTCTTGATGTTAACTCCTTACTTTTGAGACCTGAACTGCTAAATGACAACTGCTTTGGCCTCTGGATTGGAAGAGCAGGTAGGATCAGCAAGAGCTGTGTTATCTTTTCCTCTACTGGGTTCCTCTAACCATCAAATTTTTATCCCTTCAGTATCACCAGCTTATCTTAGTCACCTAGGGCCTCCTCCTTCCAGTTTTTCACTTCTCCAGAGGAAGCAATGCATAGTAGACAAGGTAATAGGAAAACAGTTTTGTTAAGGGTGACTCTAATATACTGAGAACAAAGACCTTGTGTTCTCTCCCTCTGAATTTACTAGGAACATCTGTATCTTGTAACTCCCTATTAAGAGTTTCATTATACTGCTTCATTTCTCTTCTTTCTGGAAGGGGTTCTTACAACCCAGCTGACTTAGGCCAGAGCAGTACCTTCCCTGAAGTCAGACCTCAGGGAGCCAGAGAAAGCTTTTCTCTTCTCTCCCCTTGTTTCCTCACAAAATACCAGTAAAAGACTGTACCTAGCAGCAAACAACCTTACAAAGGTTTGGTATATTGGTATAACCAGAATACTAACTAAATTTACATAGCTAGCAAGGCCATTAATGTGTTTTGTTTCTAAAAATCTGCAACTTTGGTATCGACTCTGTCTGAGCTGGTATAGCCCCGAGACCTGTCATAGTGGGAACTCCGCATCATGACTAGACACACCACCTCTGGACCCAGACTGCCTGGACTCAATCCAGGCTCTGCCACCTGCCAGCTGGATAACTCTGGGCAAGTTGCTGAAGCCCTTCATGCATATTTCTTCATCTGTGAAATGGGATTAATGGCACCTACTTCACAGGGATGTGGAGAAGTCCTCCCAGCAGAGCTATGTCCCTTATACCTCAGCCTGACTAGTCCAAGGCCCCCTACCCTGGTGCCAACACAAATTCCAGTGTGCCACCCAACCATGAGTAGGGCAGGGTGAGGCAGCCTCACTCTGTGGCCCAACAAAAAAATGAACAGGTGAGAGCAGCCAGCACAGGACCTGAGAAGGGTGGCCAGTCTGAAGCTGTCTGTCCCATCTGGGGCACACATCTCATCAGGCCATTTCAGCTTGGTAACCAGGTATCATCAGGCAAGTTTCTCATGATAATTTGGTTTCCCATATAATCAAACCCATCTGTAGCTAATCACAAATATAATGTCTAGGACTTCTTAACAGTTCTGTTTCTCACTGTGAATCTGCATTTTGGTTTGTCTCAGAGCCTCGATTTGATTATGTAGACAGGGTCAATTTTCTGGACATGATACAGGTGAAAAGTAGTCCCTGGAGTGTGGTGCTTTCTCCAGGGTAATTCCATCATTTTGTGCAGGCAGGCACTTAGTCACCAAATCCCCTGAGAGTCGAGGCATTTGTAGCTCCGCGAGCAGGAGGGAATGGAGTGGGGTGGAGCTGTAATGCTCCCGTTCACCCTTCACTGAGCTGCCAGAACATTTGCCCCTGCAGCACCCCCTCAGGGCTCCGCGGTTGCTGGCATCTCGGAATGTTCGAGCGCCACCATGTTCCCCTTGTCTGTCTATACGCCAGCACCCAGCGCGGAAGCCGCCTGTGTGGTGCACTGAGTGCAGAGCCACCGTGGGCGTAGGATCCGGGCCGGTAGCACCAGCCAAGCACAGCCTGCCGGGCCAAGTGGGCGGAGCGAGAGGAGCAGAGCGAGGCCTTGGACAGAGGTCTAGGCGACCGGCTGGCAGCTACTGAAGTGCCAGGAAGGAACCCTGTAACCCTCCCTCCTGCTCGCCGAGCAACAGGTAAGAAAAAGCTGCTGGGCGCCGTTTTCAGCCACAACATGAGCACCTAGTCATGCCAAGCACTGAGCGGGGCCCTGGGGAGGTGAGTCCCAATTGAGGCCTAAAGAGATCATAGACGGGAAACCAACATGTCAGTCCCACTCACAAGGCAACATTTCAGCCACAGACCTTCAACTTCTAGTACCAGCCAGTCTTCACCCTCAGCCTGGCAGCCAGGAGGCAGCCAGGCCTGCCCCTCTTAGTGTAACCGTGCTCCTGGTGTGGCACTGCAGCCCTGATTGTCAGGGGCGTCCAGAAGACCAGGCAGGAAGGGCCCTGACACCTCCAAGCCTGGCATACTCCCCCCAAGGTCTCTATCAGGCCTGTGAGAAATGGTGGCTTGACCCCAGGTGCTGCTCTGCTCCAGTCCCTCAGTGAACAAGAACCAAGGACACAAGGGAAGCAGGCTGGGGCAGGAGGGAAAGCCCTTTCCCTTTCCCTCTGGCTTATTTGAACACAGCTCTCCTAAGTGTGAACACAAAACCATAGTCTGTTCCATCAGTTCTGATATGCACTTATTTTCACATCTCAAGTTGGTCCGCATCCTTATTGATGGTATCAGCATTATGTCATTTCATTAACAGCATTTTTTTCTTGGTACAAAAATAATGCATCTTATAGGGAATTCAGATTTGTTGAAATATGATAGAATAGTAGATAGAGAATGTAAGGCTACAATATCAAATATTAAATGATGCAAGCAAGATTTCACTTAGGTACAGGGGTAAGTTCGTGGCGAGGGGGAAAATATATGGGGAGTCAGCAGACATGGCCTTTAGTCCCAGGTAGGTCATATGTGCTGTGTGACTGGTGGAAACACCACTTATGCTGTCTGGATACCTGTCTCATTTGTAAAATGGTGATGAGACTCCCTGCCCTTTCCTTTCTGGGTTATATGGTCAAATGGCCATCAAGGTACTTTTCAGTCATAGGACCACCTTTTTGCCACCCTGATTATAGTGGACAGATTTTAGTGGTCTATCTGCCTTAAGTTTTATAATGAAATTCCAGTCAGTCATATTTCTCAAAATTAGTAAGTCTGAACGTCCTGCATGCATTTAACTTCTGTTAAGCTATCTCCAGGGGTCCAGCAAAGCATCATTTCCATCCTCTCCACTACAGCCCTCTCAGGCGGTGGAGCAGCCCCACTGGATAGAGGAAAATGAGGCTCAGGAAGGTAAGCCTGTTGCCTCAAGTCACACTACCAGCAACTGACGGGGGAGCCAGGATTTGTACCAGAGTCCTTCAGACTGCAGAGCCAGCCCTCGAGAACCAGTAAATATACTGGGGAAGGCCCTTCCCATCCCCGGAGATAGACCTTTCCTACCTGGTGAGACCACCTTCACCTCGGTGCTGTGGCTGACTGCCTGGCTCCCCCGGTAGGCGCTGCATGTGTAGGAGCCCTCATCCCTGGCTCGCAAGTTGTAAATCAGCAGCGTGCCATCTGGGGACTGGTGGACACGGTGGCCGTCAGCTTGCATGGGTAGCCCATTCCTGGAGGAGAGAGGACACTGGGAGAGTCATCAAGGGCCTCTGGAGGCCTGAGAGACAGAGGCAGGAGGTAGTCAAAGGCCATTCCAGAGCCAACAATTCCTCCCCTTGAGGGCAAACAGGTGGAGGAGAAGGAGAAATCAAGAATGACCAAGGTTTCTAGCTTGGGTTACTGAGTGATGCTAGTACCCCTCCAACCTTGGGAGATCCAAGGCCAGGGTGAATGGTGAGGTTATTTTCTGCCATTTCAAATTTGGGGTGCCTGTGAGATAGCAGGGGGCCTCAGATTTGAAGACTGGAGCTCAAGAATGCAGACCCAGATAAAGTATCAGCATCACACTGACACAGCAAAGTGCCATGTCTGTGAGGTTGTCTAAGTCACACAGTGAGCAACCAAGGACTGAGGACAGGCCCTGAGGCATACCAGAAGACAATGGCTTCCCACAGCTGAGGGAAGGGAGAATTTCAAGAAGGAACATATGGTCAACAGAACAACACTACAGGTCGCGTAAGGACTGTGAATTGTCCAGCAGAGTGAGGGAGAGAGGCAATGGCCTTGGCCAGGATGGGGCTAATGTATGGCCCCACTGCAGGGCCTGAGAAGTGAGTAGGGAGGTGAACAGGCAGAGGCAACCCACATGGACAGCTGTGAAGGGGATGCCATGTCCGCGTAGGGGCTGCAGGGACATACTAACTCACGGGAAGTTGGTTCTGAAGAGGGGAGCATGTTTGCTGCTGGAAGGATCCAGGACAGGCCAACGTGGAGAAGCAGGCCTAACAGGCTGATCAAGGGAGGGCTGGCCCGAGCACACCAGCAGGGAAACTGCCACCAGCTCCCCATGCCTTACTGGGCTCAAGGCCACACAAGACTCAGATGCCCTCCACAACTCCATCACCCCTCCCCACCACTGCTCAGGCCAGTTTTCATCCTGGTGTCCTCTCTCAAATGCCCACCTTTGGCACTTGGCTGCTTCCTCTACCAAGAACATCCTTTGCCATCCTCAGCTATTAAGGTACAGCCAAAGTCATTTCCTGGCCCACCCTTCCTTGACTCTCCCAGACCTGAAGCAGCCTCACTCTTCTGTGCACAGACAGCACTTGGAGGAAAACACATCTGGAGCTCCTGGAACACTGGGCCACCTGCCCGGGAGTGCCCTGGGGCTCAGGTGACCCCAGGATCCCCAGAACCTAGCCTAGTCCTGAGGGAGGGAGGGGACAAGAAAGTCTACTGAATGAAAGAACAAATAAAAAACAGACTGATCTAGGGTAAAAGACCACTGAAGTCCCCAAAGCTGAGTATAGTTCACACCCCCAGGAGATATTTTCCACCAGGGGACATTTGGGAGTAGGTCTGGAGATATTCTTTATTGTCATGACTTTGGGGAGGGTGCTACTGGCATCTAGTGGGTAGATGCCCTGGATGCTGCTCAACATCCTGCAAAGCACAGCCAGCCCTTAGCAACCAAAACTACCACACTATGAGTGGTGCTGAGGTTAGGAATCTCTAGCATGGCCCAACCAGCAGAGAGCCAGTGGTCCCACAGGGCTGTGCTGTGTAGGAATAACTGTGCTGCAGCCCTCTCCCCTGGCACCAGGCCTGGAAGCAGGAATGGAAGGACAGTGGGGGCAGTGGCGACAGTGACATCCCTGGCAGAAAGATGGCCACACCTGAGGTTGTGAAGGTCTGGGGGCAGGGGAAGCTTGGAATAGAGCCTTTACCTGGACCACCTGATGTTCACATTTTCTCCTGCTACCACACATAACAGCCTGGCAGTGTCACCTTCAGGCACTGTCACAGTAGGGGGCATTCCTGAGATTGTCAGCTCCCCTGGGCACAAGGACAAGACATTGTTAGCCACTCTGAAGATCCTGCCCTACCCATGCCACCTGAACTCAAAGACCCCTCAGGACTGCCACTTTACCCAGAACTCTGAGCTGGACCCATCGCTGGTCTCGGTCCTGCCCATTGAAAGCGACACAGGTGTAAAAGCCGCCATCTTCTACAGCCACTTGGCTGATGAACAGGGAGCCATCAGGCCGCAGCTGGTGTCTGGGGACCAAGTACAGCCAGTTGTCTCCAGCCCAAGGGGCGGCCTCCCCTCTCCTCCAGCTCTGTCCCTCGAGCATAGAGGCAGGGAGGGAACACAAGGTCTTCTAGGTCCCTGGTGAGAGGCTAAGCATCCCCTAGTGTTCACTGGGGTCTGACAGAAGGACTATTTGGCCTCAGACTTTACACCTGCAGCTGCTGGCACTTTCATTTGAAAATGTCCTTTATTTTTTAGACAGTCTTGCTCTGTCGCCCAGGCTGGAGTGCAGTGGCATGATCTCAGCTCACTGCAGCCTCTCTGTCCTGGGTTCAAGCAATTCTCCTGTCTCAGCCTCCCGACTAGCTGAGATTACAGGTGCCTGCTACCACGGCTGGCTAATTTTTGTATTTTTAGTAGAGATGGGGTTTCAGCATCTTGGCCAGGCTGGTCTTGAACTCCTGACCTCGTGATCCACCTCGGCCTCCCAAAGTGCTGGGATTACAGGTGTGAGCCACTGCACCCAGCCAAAACTGTCTGGCTTTTAAGCTTAAAATATAAATCATTTCAAGCTTCATGATACAAAATTTTGGTTTGGGTTTCTAGTTTTTGCTATACTCATTTACTGGGCTCAAATACTGGTTCTGCTGCTTATAAGCTATGCGATGTTAAGCTTGTGTGTGTAAAGTGGGGAAAAACATCACCGACTCAATACGGCTTTTTAGCAGGTCACGTGATACAGCATAAGCCTCACACTCAGTGCCCACTCAGTAAAGGGTAGCGATGATGATTACAGCTGGAAATGTGTTCTGACTCCATTTCCTCCTCCAGCTATCACCTCTGTTAGCTGGCCTCTTGTTTCTGTCCATTAACCACATTCTGGAAAGGCCCAGAGACTCAAATGTTAGCCAACCCACGCAGCCCTTTGCCCAACTGCCCCATCTCTCAAGAGGCCCTGGAGTCCGGCTCAGGACTGGCCATGGCGATGCCCAAGCACTCCCTTCCCTGGCGGCCTCCACAGGATAAGATAGTGGGGCTGGAGGCAGAATAGGAGGAAGAGGAGAGGAGTCAAATAAACCTGGGAGAAGAGACAGGGTGCCCATCTCTCTGCCACTCAATGGTTGGGGGTGGGAAGCCTTCGGCGCGGCAGGTCAGCCGGATCTGCTGGCCTGGACTGGTGTCCACCACCTGGGGCTGGTTCCGGTCCAAACGCAGCCTGCCAAACAAGCAGCCCACAGCATGAGGGGGCCCTTGCTCCTGTCCCATCCCCTGACTCCCATGGGGACCTCTACACAAGCCTGGTGGCCCCTTCTCCCTTTCCAGCAAGTTTTGGCTTCCTAAAAATCCTCTCCCACCTTGTTCTGTTTAGGAAACTGTCAATAATTACCTGGGGTGAAGGCTAAAGGTGCCCCCACCCCCGCTGCCCCCACCACTCCCTACCCATCCACCATGGCAGGACACACCCACCAGCCAGGATCCCCATCTGTCACCCCCACCCTGCACATTTGCCACTAGGTCTTTGACTTAGGCACCCCCTCTGCAAACTGAACCATTCCTCAAGGCCAGTTCAAGACATTCCCCAAAGAAGCCAGCTCAGAACCTCTAGTTCTGGGCATCCTTCCCTTCCTCAGTTCCTGAGTCCTGAGCCTATGGAACTGCACCGTTCCAGAAGCTTCCTCAAGAGGCCCAGCTCTGTTTTTCTAGGCCTGGTCTCCCAGAACCCTGAGCAGGGGCCAGCAAAGCCTGGACACAGCACATACTTTCCCCTCCTCACCCACTGAGACCATCAGCCCTGGCCCTGGGGTCGGGGAGGGCAAGATGGCATTGCTGAACTCTTACCAGTTTGCAGGCTGTGGGTGTGAGGAGGGGATGACCCCCAGGACCCCAGCAGTGCCACCTTGGCCGAAGTCCTGAGGTGGATTCCTGGGCTGAGAGAAGCGGCTCAGCTCAGCCTCAGACAGCACAGCCATGTCACCCCCTGTCATGAGGCCGGGAGAAACAAGGTGTGAGCTGTGGGGAAAACGGAGGGGAAGGAAGGGTGGGCCATAAGACCAGCAGGGACTATGGAGAAATGAAGGCCACAGGGTGGTCCCTGCCACAAGGAGGAATTCACCCAGAGAGACACCCTGGGCCCCTTTAGTGCGTGACAGCCCTGGCTCAGGCCCCTCATCCTGGCCTTCCCTCTCTGGGGCTCCTGAGAATGCACTGGTGGATGGGGTGGGGACAGAGACCTATGATGTGAAGCTGGATCTTCTGAGAGTTGTGGCCTGGCCGGGTGCTGCCACAGCTGTAGGTGCCCGCGTCCTCTGCCTGCAGGGGGTGGATGATCAGGGAGCCATCGGGTTGCAGCCTGTGCCTGGGGGGAGTGGGGGAAACATGAGCTCTGCGCCCGAGTCGTCCCTCAGCCTCTGTGCTCCTGCCAGAGGAGGCCAGAGCCCACAGAGCACCCTCCCAACCCAGGTGAGGCTGGGGTACTACTTCAGGGGAGGCTGTCACTCACACCTGTCAGAGGAGGTGAGGGCAGTCAATCACACCTGTCAGGGGAGGTGGGGGGAGGTCACACACACCTGTCAGGGGAGGAGGAGGTGCTGTCACACACACCTGTCAGGGGAGGTGGGAGGGTCTGTGACATACCTGTCAGGGGAGGTGGGGGGGGGGCTGGGACCCCCCTGGCGGGGGGGGGGGGGGGGCGGTCCCCCCCCGGGGGGGGGGGGGGGGGGGGGGTGTGTCCGACAGGGGGGGGGGGGGGGGGGGGGG